GTGAGAAGTGCTCCCAGGAATCCCATAGCATTCCCTTAACCCTGAGGGGCTGTGGGGATGCACAGCCACCATGTGCAGCCAGCTGGTGGGGTGAGCAGCTGAAAATCCAATTTTCTGTGCGGTCATGGGAGAAAAACTTCCTGCTTTTGGAGGGCAGAGGTTTCTGTAGATGTGTGGGCAGAGATGGTGGGAATAGAATCTTGTTAGTGGGGAGAAGAAGTCAGAGGGATGGTTTTGATTGCTCTGATGGAAGGACCAAGCTTTGAAGGGCTTGTTGAACTTCTGGCTACCGAGAATGATTTTTGGGTGCCATTTTTCTGTAGAAATTGTGATTAGATGAGTGATACCCATGTTGTTTCAGCTCTGCAGCCCACCCAGCAGGAAGCACAGTCCAGGCTTTGCTCCAGCCTGGAAAAACAACGAGGGGAGGGAGATCTCTTGTCTTGTACTGACAGGAGGTGCTTTGTGCCATCTCTTCCTGCCAGGCAAAGAGGCCACAAAGGAGAATTTAAATCTTCAGCGTGATGTGACATGTGCTCGAAAACACTGCGTTCCTGGAGAATCCTCTGCTATTCCATGCTCCCAATGTCTCCTCCTCCGGCTTTGCATGGCACAAACATTCATTTTGGTGTTCTGTGTGTCCCTAATGTGATATAAAAAGCTAAATGCATTACAACTGCAGAACAGCACATTGTTATTTTTTCCTTCGGCTTCTTCTGCAGCGAGCAATTTTTTGTTCCATTAATAAGCCTTGTGGTATTTTTCTTTTCCTTCTCATGCACTCTACCCCAGATTCATCCTGGGAGGATTTCCTAGGCAGGCTGGAATGGCTGTGTGCTCTTCACACTTCTCAATGTTTCTTACTGAGCATGGAAAGAACTAATGCCCTAAAGGAAAGTCATCAGGATAATCCAACTTAGATGTTTTGACTTCCAGCACGAAGGAATCAATGGGGTTTGAATGACAGTGCTCAGAGCTGGATATCTCCATCCCTTTGTGGGGAGGAACAAATGGCCTTCAACTTTGTTTTAGAGGCTCTGGGAAGGATGAAAACAGGGAGGAGGAACATCCAGTGTCATGAGAAAATAGGTCTTCTTTTCCTAGAGAAAAGAGGCTGAAGCACTCCCCAGCTGTTCAATTCCTGCTCCTTGGTCTTGGCTTTCACACAGTAATTTCAGCGTCATTCCTGGGGGCTCAGTTTAGTTCCCAGCTGCCCCCTATAAATCTGTAGGGCCCTGTGGACCCAGAAGGAGCTGCCAGAGGTACTTCAGAGCAGAAGGAATGGCCAGATGTGCCTTAGGGTGGAGTCAGGTGTGCCCATGTTTCAGTAGGTGGCACTCCTTGCTCTGCCTTGGGGACTGCCGTGGATTTTGGGGATGTAGTGGAATAGCAGGTGGCATCCCATGGATGTGAGATGTGGTGAGTCTCAGGTGTGACTACACCTCGCAGTGCTTTTTGCAAGGGTTCAGCTGTTGTGCTGCCTTCCTTGGAATTTTCCTGTATTTCTGTTGTTCCTTCTCATCATGAAAGGTGTGCAGGTGGGGAAGGAATTTGGTTGTGTGCCAGTGGAGGGAAGAGCCTGCAGGTCACACACCTTCCCAAACCTGCACAAAGCCCCCACCAGCAGGATAATCCATCACAAAATCCAGCTGGTTCAACTTTCTGCCATGGGCTGATCTACTCCTGCAGATATTCTGGGGAAAGAGTAGAGTGGATTAGGCAGGGAACAGACACCACATCCAGGAGGAGGCAAATGTTTATGTATGTGGTCAGTGGTGCATGTCCAGCCTCTCTGTCCGTGCTGTCCTGGCCGGCTGGAGCAAGGTGACATTTGCCCGTCAGGGATCGTGCCAAGTCCCTGAGCCTTGTCTCAGAAATCCAGGGAGGTGTTTGCAGGATAGACAGTGTTCAAATACAGTTTCAGCTTGGGAAATGGCAGCTGAGTGGGTGCATTTGGTGACAGATGATCCCTGAAAAGGTTCAGAAGCAGAAGCTATCAAAACCCCGGAGCTGTGCAGAGAGGAAATATTGTGAGTGCAGTGGAGAGGAGAAACACCCCTGCTCTGTGTCATTCCCACCAGCCAGCCCTGGCGTGCTGTGCTTTGGGGCAGATGTCTGCAGATGCTCTTTTTTTGGCTTCCCACTCGACATCCAGGCACACTCTGGCAGTGGAGGGAGCAGGAAAAGGCTTTGGGAAGTTCATAGCCAAAAGTGTCCTTAAACCATGAGCAGCTTTGCCCCGTCTTCCCAGCACCAAGCCAGTTGGTACATTCCTGCCATTCTTCATCCTAAAGCTGTTTCTTTCCATTTCCTGCATCAAGCAGATAAAGCAGCTGCTCTGTTGAGCCTCAGCTTTATTTATTTTATTTTTTTTTATTTTATTGGGAGCATTAAATTGAAAGGAATGGGACCACAGAATTTATTTTTATTGGAGGGGAGTGGTACCCTGGGATCCCAGAGATCACACACCAGGATCTGTGCTGGCCTCATGGTTTCTGTGCTCTGGTTTCTTTGGGAGAGCAGGGAATAGCCAGAAATAGGCAACTGCTGGCTGCCTTCCTACAGCAGAGCTCTGCTGTTGGCTTGTGAAGGCCTTTGGGCTGCTTTGGCCTCATCTTTAAACCAGGGAACACCGGCCTTGGACTTGACAGCTGCTGGTTATGGTCCCAAATCTAAACCTGGGCCATAAAAGTCTCTCCTGATACCCCTATAAGGGTCTAATGGAAATCTGCTTCCCACCTGGAAATAAATATATATTTTAGATACACTCAGCTAAATTTCTTGACAGCTTTATGTGCCATAATTTCTCATGGTTTTCTGTGAATCCTTTCTGTTCTGGGGCACTGTTGTCTCAGTCCTGGGCTGTGCCCCTCTCATAGAAACAAAGTAATGTTATTTTACTGCCTGTCACTGAGAAATTATGCACCAGTTTTCCCCAGGGCTTCCATTCTTTTGAAGCTTGGTGGGCTTCAGGTAACTGTATCACCTCTCCCTCCTGCAGATTTCACTTCTGCAGGGAGGAAAGCAATAAAAATTACATCATGTCGGCTGAATGCTGTTAAAATATTTTATTTATCACTGATTCCCAGTTTGTAGGCAGAAGGAATGCATCTGTTTAATGCCTGTTGTCTTTAAAATGGAAATGTTCAGCAGATATTTGGTACTTTTGTTTCCAGTGAGTTATGTGAGATGGAAATAGGGGGAATAGACAGTAAAAAATGCTGTCTGGACTTAAACCCATGGAAACAACTGGAGGACTTTGCTTTGTGCCTGGCATGAATGTATCAAGGGGACTGAAAACTGAAGAGTTCTGCATAATCCAAATGCTTTTTTCCCCCTTTTCATGTGCATCTTGAAAAATGCAGGATCAAATGCACGAAGAACCTGCAAATCCTCATGCCTGTGAGCAGAGGCTAGGCTCTTTCCAGCAAGTGTGGAGCAGGGAGCAGTTCTAATTCCTCATCTGTTCTCTTTTATAAATTTATTTTATAAAGACCAGCTGCGGGTTGAAAGCTGGAGCCAGTGTGTAATGGGGAAAAAAAAAGGGGCAATACCAAAGGAGCTCATTCCCATAAGCAGGGGTTAGATGTCTGGCACTCCCCAGCTCATGCCTGGCATGGGAGGTCTAGGACACAAACACCTAGGTTCCACCCACCTCCAAAAAACATATTCAGGGCTGCATCCTCCTCCTCCCCAAATGAAGTGCCCCCAAGAGAGAACAGGAACAGCTGCTGAAAAGCTCTGAGCATGGAAGCGTGCCGATGCCCCAGTGCTGCAGCAGCTTTTGTGAGGGTCCTGCATCCAGCTGCGCTCGAGGCTTTCATCACTGGCTCCTCCTGGCTGGATGATTTTATCAGGAGCCCCCAAAACAGCTCACAGCCCCCTGTTTTTTCCCCAGAGAGCCAAGGCTGGAGCAGTTCTCTAAGGGTGAGCATTGCTGGCCCTTCAGTGCCTGACAAATGGAAGAACCCAGAACCATTTGGCACTGAGGGCTCGGCCGCTGTGGCTCATTTATTTGATTTTGTTATTTCGGTGCTGCAGCCCTGTGGGCTGTATAGCAGAGGTTGGACCACGCAGAAAACCTGAGTGCACAAAGGAAAACCCTGCACTCTGGGAAAATCCAATTGGGTTTGGTGTGGCAGAAACTTAATTTGGGCTTTCACGTGGGTATTTGGGCCAGGCAGAAAATCTCCCAGATTTAAAGTTAGGGGTTTTTTTAGTGCTCTGAAGGCCAGATGCCCTGCCTCCAGGCTTTTCCAGTGCAGACAGACTTGACCGATATTCCCATGGAAATCTGGGTTTTTGGAGCCCGGAGCTTGCTGAGGCTTGAGGAGGAGCCATGCCAGACGCTGGCTTCTGCTTCCACTCGGAGAAGACAACAAAAACCGTCTCTTTAAAAGCAAAGTAAAGGGGGGATAAGTTCTTTAAGGAGAAGTGGCACCTTGAGTGGAGCGGAGGGAGGGGAGCGGGGCCCCGGCGGCAGCGGGACGGGAGATCGCGGTTCGGACCTGTGCGCTGGCCTCCAGCAGAAGGCCGGCAGGGCAGGCACCGGGGGCTGCTCCCGGCCGGCCCCCTCCCTCCCTCCTCGGCAGCCCGCGGGGCGTGGGCGGCGCGGGGCGCGGCGGGGCCGGCGGGAGGGAGCGGGGCGAGCATGTGCATCCTCCCCGCCGCCCCTGCCTCCCTCCCGCCGCCCGCCCGCCTCCCCTCCCTCCCCGCTCGCCGCCGCGGGTGTGTGTGTGTGTGTGTGTGTGTGTGCGTGTGTGTGTGTGTTTCTCGGCTCCCTCGCCAGCCCGGCCTGACGCAGGCGGATCCACATCGCCCCTGACAACACCCCGGCTCCGGAGCGCCGTGCCGGGGGTCCGGGTGCGGCGGCGGCGGCCCCGCGGGGCCGGGCCGAGCCCAGGGGGGCGGCGGGGGCCGGGGTGGCCCGAGCGCGGGGAGGCGGCCCCGGGGGGGGAAAGTTGCCGGGAGCGGCCGGGGGCGAGCGCGGCGGCAGGACCATGGGCACTTTGCGGGATTTACAGTACGCGCTGCAGGAGAAGATCGAGGAGCTGCGGCAGCGGGATGCGCTCATCGACGAGCTGGAGCTGGAGTTGGACCAGAAGGACGAACTGATCCAGAAGCTGCAGAACGAGCTGGACAAGTACCGCTCGGTGATCCGGCCCGCCACGCAGCAGGCGCAGCAGCAGAGCGCCGGCACCTTGCAGGGCGAGCAGCGGACCAAGCGCCAGGCGATCTCGGCCGAACCCACCGCCTTCGACATCCAGGATCTCAGCCACGTCACCCTCCCCTTCTACCCCAAGAGCCCGCAGTAAGCAGGGGGTCACGCCGCCGCTCAGCCTCCCCCCTCTCCCTCACCCCGCTCCATTCCCGGCCTCGCCGCCCGCCCGCCGGGCAGGGACCGGAGCGGAGCGCGGCATTCCCGCATCCTCCTCGGGTGGCCCCGCGGGGTGGGAAAGTTGCGAGCGCCGGGTTTGCGGAGGGTGGGGGGAAGAGCGGCAGGAGTGAGTGCCGAGGTGCCAGCAGAGGGGGACCCGGCTGTCCCCCGTCCCGGCTGCGGGGCGATCCGTCCATCCCGCCGGGGAACGGGGGCAGCGGCGGGCGCGGGGGGGACGCTGCTGCCGGCGGGTTGAACCGGATCGTGTCGTGGGCATGGAGGCTTTATCGCTGCGGGAGAGGGCGGGGAAACCCGGGGCTCGCTCCGGGACCCCGCAGGGAGACATTCCCAGCTGGGAAACTTGGAGCCCAACAGGATACGGTGCCCGGCTCTCCGGGCGGGGGCTGGTGCTTTGGGGAGGGGGTGTTTGGCAGAAGCAGGAGCTTATTGCAGTGTCCTGGTGCGCCGGAGGGTGTGCGGGGGGCAGGGAAAGTTGCGGGGATCTTCAGGTGTCGGAGCGCCGGGGGATGCGCTGCCCCGGTTTCACACCTGCCGCAGATTAGGGAAATTAGAGCGCCTTAATGGGTAAACGGAGCCCTCGCGGGAGCGGGATCGCTCTCCCTCGCTCCGTAGTTCTTTTTTTTTGGCCAATAAATCGCCGTGCCTTTGGTTCAGCGCTCCTTAAGGCATAAAAAAGGAGGAGGGAAGAGGTGATGAGCGGATGCTCGCCGCGTCGGGCTCCATGTGCGGGGACGGAGCGCAACCTCCCCGTCGATGGGCAAACCCGCCTCCCCTCCGCGACCGGCATCTTCCTCGTGGAAGAGCATAACCGGGAGCGCTGGCGGACCCCCGGAGCCATCCCGGTAGCGGGGAGTGTGTGTGCCGGGTGGGCTCCGGGATGCGGGCGCCCTGCGGAGCCCCTCGGGGGTCGGGGCGGGCGGCGCGGGGCCGGGGCCGCGGCACAGGGACGGTGCCCGGGCAGGGGTGGCGGGGCTCGGGGACCCTGCTGGGGCACGGGGAGCCTGCCGGAGCGTCCTCCCAGGGACCCTGCCGGGGCTGGCCCCGCTCCCCGCGCAGCCTCAGCCCTTTCCCGCCGCCATGGCGGGGCCCCGCCGTCTCCAGGCAACTGCCCGCCCTCAGGGCGGCCGCCATGGCCGGACCCCGCCGGGCCCAGCCGGGCCGGGCCGCGTGTTCCCCTCATACCACACTCCCGTTCCCACATTCCCATTCCCGCCTCCCCCTTTCCCACCGCCGCAGATATTTTGTCCTTTTAAGGCGCCTTGGCCGCGCGTTCAAAAGCATGGCAGGGGAGGAACGGCGGCGGCGCGGGAAATGCCTCCCCACAGCCCCCAAAAGGAACAAAACACCCCAAAAAGTGCCCGCCGGGGGCTGTCAGGAGAGTGGGGCCAGGGGTGGCTGAGGCCAGGCGGGCGAGCGCTCCTCTGTGAAATCCCTGGCGTGTGCGGTAAACATCGGAGCTGGGATAAAGCATCCCACGGTGTTAGCTTCTCTGGGAAAGCAAAACCCCAAAGCTGTCGCTTTCCTTGTCGGTGTCGTCGCCCCTCGGCGCCCTTGAAGCGCAGATGGAGCTGGCAGAGCTCCGGGAAGCGCCACAGGTTTCAGCAGAGCGACTCGGCAGCCTCTGCCGTACCCGGTGAAATGTGTAGGAAGCCTGGCAAAGCCTTGGATTAACGTTTTCCAGCTGGAATTTTAATTGCTCTTTGTGTAAACGCAGCCCTGCAGTCTGCTGTGGGGGTATGGCGTGCCACTCCTCTGAGGAGGTGTTTCATATTGGTCATCCACGGCCAATACTCCTGATGTTATTTGCAATATTGAAGTCAACTTGTGGCTGCAGGTTGTAATTGCTTTTCAGCTGGGGCGTTCCAGGGGTTTGGAGCAGCCTGGGATAGTGGAAGGTATCCCTGCTTGTGGCAGGAGGCTGGAATGAGATAAGTTTTGGGGTCACTTCCAACCCAAACTGGTCTGTGATTACAGGAAAAGGTCCTTGCTAGTGGTTTCAGGAGTGTACAGGCTCTGGGAAGTGTTGCGTGCTCTGTGTCAGCCCTACCCGGTGGCCAAGATAACTCATGGTGGTGGTGAGAGTTAAGGTGGTGAAGACGTGGAAATAACAAAATCTGCAAAAAAAGGTGTTGGTTTTTTATTTCTCCCCTGTTCACGCTGAATCTCAGTTGACTCTTGGGGTAATGACTCTTGGTTTTGTCAAGCCACCAGGAAGTGTTCAAAAGGCAGGTGGATGTGGCACTTGGGGGATATTAGTTATTGGTGGCCAGGGCAGTGCTAGGGGAATGGTTGGACTTGGTGATTTTAGAGAGGTTTTCCAACAAAATTATTCTGAAGTAACCTCTGGGATTTTTTGGTTTTTTTTGTAGTTAGGTGGTGCTGGATTTGCTCTGATCTGGCAGAGGTGGCTGGAGATTGGGAGGAACAATAGTAGCAGGAAGTCTGTTGGAACTGAATTATCATGAGGGTCATGGCAGATACTTGAGGGTCTGTGCTGGTGGAAGCTGTTGTGATGGCACATAGAAGATTCTTGGTTATGGAGTGGCTGAGCTCTGAATGAGCCTAAGACAGCTGGAGAGGGACTTGAGACAGGACACAAGGAATGGCTCCCCAGTGCCAGAGGGCAGGGATAGATGGGATATTGGGAAGGAATTGTTCCCTGGGAGGGTGGGCAGGCCCTGGCACAGGGTGCCCAGAGCAGCTGTGGCTGCCCCTGGATCCCTGGCAGTGTCCAAGGCCAGGTTGGACTTTGGGGCTTGGAGTAGCCTGGGATAGTGGAAGGTGTCCCTACCCATGGCAGGGGATGGCACTGGATGGGCTCTGAGACCCTTTCCAACCCAAACCATTTTGGGCTTCTATGAATGGCTTTCAAAGTGTGAGAGGAAATTTAACTGCCTTGTGTGGACAAATACCGTTAAATCTGCAGGATCTCCCCTTTGACACACATCTCCCCCCTCCCTCCCCCCTGTTTAGGATGCATATGGTTAAATAAAATTGCTTTTTCAGAGCTTTAAGAGTTTGAGATGCTGTTGCAGAGTTGGGCTTGTTTTGACTCTACAATATTTTTAAAAGTGAAACAGGACTTTGTGGGCTGACCCGGGGAACTAAAATTCATGGAGGGACACGTCCAGCCATTCAGCCATTTTCTTCTGAGTTATGAGCGAGAGGAATTGGGCATTAGCATCTTTATCAGTCTCCCTGTTCAAGTAACTAGAAGCCAGTTATTTAAAATACGTGTCTTTTTTCTTCCCTCCCTCTCTTAAAGGAAATAACTTGCAAGAAGTGAGTAAGAGGGCACAGACTGGGGAGGAAGCTGGCTGCTTTTCCGCCGCAGAAAAAATGCCGTGACAGATCTTTCTCTCCTCTTCATCTTCCCAAATTGCTGCTCGTGTTTGTTTTTCCACACCTTTGACCTCTTGCAGGGTATATCCTGGCTGCTAACAGCTTGTCAGCATGGAGGGAACACTGGGAGACCGAGTTTGTACCAACTGCCTTTGCAGTTAAAATTGTACAGGACAGCCAAGTAAAGAGAAACCTTTTCAACCAGAAAGCTGCAACTCTTCCCTTTCCCTGCCTTGTTCTTGCCATGGGAAAATACCCAGGATTTTAATTTTAACAGGCTGCTTTGTTCAGGGATCGGTAACAGCTGTTTACCTTTTTGGAAGGCTGTGTAATCAGCGTGTTTTCTTCTCCAGAAGGGAGAAAAAAAGAAACGTAGAACATAGAACAAAGCACGGAGCTCGTGAGTGTGAAGGGCCTGATCTCTTGGCTGAGGTGGTACAAGCTCTATTGTTAACAGAGACAGCAGCGAAGTGCTGTGTCATTTGTAAGAAATGTTGAGTAAAACAAAAAATAACTTGATTTGGGGAGTTAACAGACTTTTGGGGAATCTGCCAAAATCCCAGAGACTCGTTTGTGAGGGGAGGAGCAGCCTGTGAGTTGTATTTAAGAGGTCTGGTTTAAGAAATGTAGAATACTTGGTTGCATAGCCTTAGGGAAAGTACAACATCCATACAAGAGGTTTAACAAAATCCCTGCAACAGCCAGATTGGTTCTTTGAAGGCGAATGTGCACATCCTCTGGGGGCTAGAGGCATATTTTAAGTGATCCTAATAGTCATAAAACCCCCAGCAGTACTTGAAAAGCACTTTGTGTTTAGGGTATTGGCATGAAATGCTCTTCTGGTGTTAATCAGTGCTATGTATGCTGCAGTAGCCAGGAGCCACTCATCTAAAAACCCCTGAAACGACCCAAACCCCTCTTCCCTCAACCCCCACGCTCTCCTCTTCCTACAGTCATTTGGGGGATGGTTGGTACATGGTGAAACCACTGGGAACTGGTTGATGAGATGATGGGGAGAGCAGCTGAGGCACGCTCCTGCAGTGATGGTTTCCTGGAATGTGGGGCAGGAGCTGGAATGGTGGTGGCCTCTTGAATCCTGTCACTTTCTGGTGAAGCATCTTGGCCCGAGCAGTCAGCAGAGATGGATGTAGTGGTGCAACCTTCATTCTTTATTTTTTTTTTTGGTGTCAGTCCACTGTGATGTGTCCAGCGAGCAATTAATTGAACTGCATTTATCATCTGTTGTGAGAGCTATTAAATGCTGTGGTTGCTTTTATGTGCTCTAATGTCAAATCCATCTGAATGTAGTTTTAAGCTGATGCTCGATGGACAAAAATCCATTAATGTCAGAGGGGTTTTTCGGTGCATTTGAACAGTCAGGATTTAAGGTCAGGATTTTATTGCAATGTGTTGAGCGGCGCTGGGGCACCACTGGCTGGGGAGGATCCCTGGTGCTCTGCAGGGATGCGGTTTTGCTGTGAGGGATGATGCTCTCCCTGACAGAGCTGCGAGCACAGGGAGGATAGTGCTGGAGCAAGGCAGCCGAGCGTGATTTTGCCATGTTTTGACAG